TTAATAAATTATAAGGGAAGGCATTAACTGTTAAAAGAGATCAAAGGGGTACTACGACACAGGGTAGGTAAATGAATAAATAAAATAACATCCAGGAAGCTTGAATGTTACTTTCTCAACATCCCTAAGCATGTTAACTTGTGTGGCATACCTCCTGCTGTTTTCTTGCCTTCAGTCACTGGGTCAGTTGTTGATAGGTGGGTTATGGGCACGTTTTCTGTATGAATTGAAAGAGAAAGAATCAAGTTAAAAAGCTGTGAGTTGACTTTCAAAATCAATAATGTGGGCAAATTAACTAGTTACAGTTGCCATGTCTCAAAAGAGTCAAATGCTATGCTCTAGAGGGACATAATAGTCCCAAAGGAACTTTAAACTCGCATTTAAAAGTAATCATGACTGTACCTTGAAACAGCTGTTTTATTATTATTTTTTAAATTATTAATGCCTCCACAGGGTCTAAATAAGGGTCTCAATAGGGGTATATTTATTATTCATTCAAAAATATTTCCCTTTTTCTGATTAGTTAAAACCACACACATAATTCACCATCACCAGCTGCTATTGACCAAATTTGGAAACAATTTTGTCATAATGAAACGATGACATCAAAATGCTGTCAAAAGTGCAGCCTGGTTGCAGGTTATTGAACCAGTGAACAAGAAAACCTGGGGACGAGGTTGAGTTGTTTTGGTAGTTGGAACAAAATGGCGTAAATGTCGTGGAACATTTTACTTGTTTCACAACAAAATATTGTCTAAAAACATCACAGAACAGCAAGAATACAACTCAACGGACAACACATCTGCCATTTTGAGTATATTTGCAGACCCGAGCAGACCTTAATCTCCTAAACTTCCCGATATGCATTATCGATGTGAACTTACATCGGCCGAGGTTAGCATGTTTTAGGTTGTTTTTAAACTTGGAATTATTTTGAAGGAATATTAAAACAATATTGAATTCAGCTTTCGTAGGATATAGTCCAGGGCTCAGTTGTTCAAAGGCCGATTAGCGCTTAACCCGGGGTTAAATTTAACCTGGGTTTCTTTTTCTTGTGTTCAGAAGCATTTTCTCCAGTAATTTTCTCTGTTATTTTTAGAGCTTCCAATCATAAACTTGTAGACAAAAAGAATTAAAACTGAAATGCTTTTTAAGCTTTCACATTTGAATTAAAATCTCGCAATAACCCTGGGTTATCTTAACCGAGCTTTGAACAACTTGGCCCAGGAGCATACGTATGTAAGAAATATAGCTCCCATGGGAAGTTGGTGCTGAAAGCAAGCAACCCGTCTAGAAGTCAAATAACAAGAAATCTTGTTGCCAGTAGTGTAACCCGCTGTGGTGTATAAAAAATTTTGTGACCTGACCAGAATACGTCATGCCCTCATTTCAACCTATCTTTGAGAGTGACGAAAAGTTAATAGCTTAACTCGTATTACTGTGAAATGGTCAGCTGAGTAAAATGCTCATACAGAAATGTTTCAGTGTGTTCCAACATGAAACCTAGACATGAAAATCTGCCTCTTCATCGTCATCGTCATCATCATTACCATCATCATCATCATCATCGTTGTCATCATCATCGTTGTCATCCATATTTTCACAGAGTTCCCTACTGTCTTTCACAACTATGGTAAATCGGTGCAGTTTAGCCCAGCTTTTCTACTTTAAATGGCAGCGGTTTGTTGAGCATCTCTCGTAGGTGCATTGGCACTTTACAAGGTAGATAATTGCGGGTGGAGCAGATGGTAGTTTTGTCATTACAAGCATCCATCCATTTTCATTCACCCTCCATCTGGGATGGTAGGGTGGGATTTTTCCACACCAAAATTTGATAGTGAGCTTTTAAAAGATTGCTTGATCGACTTTAAGTGCAGCTTGTGTTGGGGGCTATAAGCCTTTTTGACTGCGCTTGCTTCTTTCGAAACAACCACCAATGTACAAATTTACAAATTTAATTTCAATGTACAAATATCTGTCCTTGGTACATCTACATTTACATTCTATTTCGTCGGTAAAGTTGACTAGGCATCACACCAACTTTTTATGAAAAATAGAACACATGGCAATAGTAGCAAAATAGCTAGAGTAAGTGAACCTATATCTGTATGCACAGATATAAAAAGAAATATATCGAGATAAATAGAATTAATAAATACAACATCCTAGTCATGTCTCATTCATATTTCAGATGGTTTATGCTAAATTTGTTTTACAACAGTTCAGTGACTTAGAATTTACAATCTCTGAAGGCAAAGAATTCCATTCACATATGAATCTAGGAAAGAAAGAGAACTTGAAAACATTCTTTCTATAAATTTTGGGTATTCTATACTTGAATGCATAGCTCCTACAAGTTCTGGTCTCGCTATTCGGCACAACGTTTTTTGATCTGTTTTAAAATGTACCAAGACTATGACTCAGTTTGTACATTTTATAGCTGTTTTTGTTTCTTCTCATTTCTAAAGAATCCCATTCCAGTTCTCTAAGCATATCTGTAATGCTAGCTTTTCGGTTGAAATTCTGGAGGTACAGACATGCCGCCTTTCTTTGAACCCTTTCTAAAGTGTACACGTCTTTCTTGTAGTGCAGGTCCCAGAGATGTGGGTAACGTCTAACAGACAAGACAGAACATCTGTGTCGGGAGAATGAAAGGCACGTCCTGCTGGAAAACTTTCATAGAAGCTGACAAAGAAGTCATCAGTGGCTTTTCAGCTCTTGGAGTAAGTGCGATTCCCAGCAGGGAGATGATGACCTTAATCGGGAAGTTTGTGCCAGCTATTACGTACCAAGGACATATATTTGTACGGTGAAAGAGCTGAGTTGGTGGTTGTTTCGAAAGAAGCAAGCGCAGTCAGAAACGCTTAACCCATAACCCAAGCTGCACTAAGTCAAGCAAAATTAACCTTAAAAGCTCACTATCAACTTCTGGTGTGGAACAATGACGAAGTCGCAAATCCCACCCATTCATCCCCAGAAAACTTTGGCTGGACCATTTCACAGTCATTATAGGAGTTAAGCTATTAACTTTTCGTCACTCAAAGATAGGTTAAAATGAGAGCATGACATATCCTGGTCTGGTCACAAAATTTCTTGCACACCACAGCTGAAGCATTGATCTCTTATCTGTAAAACATTGGATGCTAGATGTAAACACAGTATCTTAATCCACATTAAAGGACCAGTCCAAAATCTTACAAACCAGCACATTTCTGTGTTACTTTGGCCACGTGATTAGACACATAACATCCCAAATTAAAGAATACCTAATTCAGCCACTAGTGAGTGAGTGTTTGCCTAAGGCCAAGACCAACATTATTGAGGTTCCAATTTCCCGTCACTTTGGTTTCGTTTTATCCTCAGTTGATAGCGTTATAATACATTTATTGCTCAGCCTTGCTTTCATGCTAGCTTTGTGAGGTGACTGCAGTGGCAGCGTCCCACTGGCTTAGGCAAACACTCACAACATTGTGTTTTATATTCCCGTTAATTTGGTTTTGGTTTATTCACAGTTAAAGGAACTACAAGAAGCTTTATTTCACAGCCTCGTTTTCACGTTAGATTCATCACATGACTAATGTCGTATCCCGCTGGCTTAGGCTAACACTGGAAACATTGAGTTGTACATCTCCTGTTATTCTGGTTTCGTTTTATCCTCAGTTAAAGGAACTACCATAAGCTTTATTTCAGAGCCTCGTTTTCCCGTTAGTTTTGTCACGTGACTAGTGTCGTATCCCACTGGCTTAGGCTAACACTGGAAACATTGAGTTGTATGTCTCCTGTTATTTTGGTTTCGTTTTATCCACAGTTATTAAAGGTATAAGAAGTTCTCAACCTCGTTTTAATGCTAGCTTCATCGCGGGCTGGTGAAGTGTCCCACTAGCTATGGAAAAAACTGACAACATCGAGTTTTACATCTCCTGTTATTTTGGTGTCATTTTTCCCACAGTTTGTGAAGTTTTAAGACATTTTATTGCCCAACCTCGTTTTCATGCATACTCTGTTAGGCTAACTTTTTAACCCCCCCTGAAAAGCCTCGGTGCAGGTTACAAAACTGGCAACAAGATTTTTCTTGTTATTTGAGGTCTTCTTAATACTGATCTAGACCTGCAGTTGCTTGCTTTCAGTACGAACTTCCCACAGGAGTACAAAATTAATGCTGCCAGACTAATATGAAGAATTCTGCAGATCTCAGAGGGTGTTATCCACCTTGGCCAATAACACCCTCCTCGATCTACAGAATTCTTCATATCCAACTAAGCGTCATTCAATAATTGCTAATTATAATGCTCTCCCATAAGTTGTCAAAAATCTTCAGAAAACAAAAATGACATTGTTCCATTGTTCCCTTGTGTCAGCGGAGTAAGTTAATTAAATAAATACTTCTGTGGAACAGTACGTCACCTCAGAAATGAACCTTTTAAGCACTATAGCCCCTTGTGGCCATCCCAGAATACATGTACTGTTGATACAGCAAAATAAACCACTTCTATAGGTCACTAACAGTACTACAACAGAAATCTATCATAAGCTTAATAAATTGCCACTTAGGACTTCACTGCAATAAATGTCAATGGATGAAAAGTCAATGTTGACTTGTAAATTATGAGACAAGTTATTGCAAATTAGGCCAAGCACATCGATTGAAGCAGGTATCAATGTTTGGACGAAGAAGGCCGCAGAGGAGGGTACTGGCATAATATTATATGCGGCATTTGAACTCTTTTAACAATTTTTTGATCAATTAATTTTCCCATCCCTTGGCGGACTGGAAAATAATTATTTCAAATTTGATAAAATAATATCCCTTTGTGGGGATAACAATACTGCAGTTTGGGGCAAAATGTGTGGTCAAAATCACCAGAGAGGGGGGCAAAGGAAGTGTTCAAATGCCACACCTATGCTCATTCCCCCCTACTCTCCATCTAAACATTGATACCTGCATCTACAAGCTTTATAGGATCTAAAACCAGTTTATTATAACTGGGCTTAATTCTTACCTTCTACAAATATTAGTTGCATTTGAATTGATTCCCTGCACTCTGGGCCACGTACAGAGCAAAAGTACTTGCTATTATTGTCTTCTTTTAAAACTTGAATTCCTATAAACTAGCCCCCTTCATACAATATGTATTTTTCTGACTTGAGCATTGTCTTGTTCCACTGTATTGCTGTACTACTGCCGCACAGATTAATCCCAACAATAAAACTGTAATGTATGCTATCAGGTTCGTACTTGTTATATGCAACCAAGCATACTTTCTTCTTCAGTTCTTTAGCCTTTTCAAATTCCAAACAAGATATGATATTAAGTCCCTTTCGGACTGGCCACGACTGAGTAAACATTTTAGTGCTCACTGCAGCTGTAAATAAACAAAAGAAACTATTTCAGTAAAGTTAATTTATATGTTTCTGACCAATCAGTGTGAACCAATAAATAACATTAGTCATTTCCTGCACGTCACCTGTACAAAATCTTATGGCCTGACTGAACCACAATAGGCCTTTAAAATGGAAGCACAGAGCAAAAGATCAACCAAAGCTGAACTGAACAGCCTGGTTTCAAATCCTGTATTTTACTATTTTTTTCTTCTTTGTTTCCCTGGTATTTATTGTTTGGTTTAATTGTTTTTTAATGAGGAAAAAAAATTATCATAAAAAAGGGTGATAGCTATAAATTCTTTCTGTTTCTTTCTTAACTTCTGACCCCTAGCCTCTGCTTCTGCTTCGCGAGGTTCTGCGATTCATGTAATTTATTTTCTAGTTTAGAATTTGTTTGTGCCTGCTGCTACCATTGTTTGTTTGTTCTTTCTTTTTGCTTTTTTAAACGGGGGATCTTACCTGTTACACTGAGATGTGTATAAGCTATAATTCTGCCATTTGTATTCTGAGCTATACAGGCATATCGTCCTGAATCAGAATACTCCACACCCAGGATGAAAAGATATCCATTCATGCCTATCACAAATCTCCCATTGGTCTTGACCACAGTCTCTTGGTTACCGGATGAATTATTATACTTTACCCATTTAATTGTTGGTTTTGGAAATCCAATTGCTTGGCAACGGAAATACACTGTTTGGTACAAGTTTTCTGTCACATTTCTTGGTTTTTGAAGAAAAACAGGTGAAGGACCCATTTCTAAAAAAAATGTGGTAAAATGAAATGCAATCAAGTCCAAAAAATGATAATTTATTGTGAAATATAATTGTAATTTAAACCTCCATTAAAAGACCACTTTTAACAAGCACGTTCAGCCACCTTTATTTGGCCTTCCCAACAACAGTTCTCCTATAATAATTTTTCAATTCTATTCTGTGGCCACCAAATGTTTAATATATACTTAGTTTTGCTTAGTATGCTGAGGGAAAATACACCCTGTCAGAGGTCAAGAAGGTGAGAAATGATTGTGGACCCATGTAATGTTTCAGTTACAATGCCATGTTAGTCCAATCATAAAGTTTACCCCATAGTACAACATTTTTCTGTACATAAGTACATTAAGCAAAGTTGGGAGAACCTCACCCCAACATTTTGAGGAGGATTTGCTTGTTTGTTATGATACTTTCGACTGGTAGTTTTATTCAGTATTATAGAGCTGTCTCTAGAGTGAAAGTTGT